TTGCATCTATATCGTCTATCTGTGCTTCTAGCTGTACCCTAGTGTCTCGTCATTCATTTTATCTTTTTTGGGAAAATTAACATATTAAATTTTCTGACGGTATGTTAAATTGGTGCAGCATGCGCTGTAAATCATCTTCACTTTAAGAGAATAGTATTACGTCGTCCACGTGGCAGATTATTGTAAGTTGTTTTTGTTCCATTTGGTATCCTTTTTTAGTTATTTCTTTTTTCATTATTTCATCCAAATCTTGTTGTTTTCTGCTAGTGTTAATAGTTTTATTTAGTTTATTTTTATCACTTTGGTTGTTAACTTTAGTGTTGTGTTTAATAAATAAATTCCTCTGTAATTTTCCGGGTCCGATTTGTCTCCCGTTTTGAAGAGAGGTGATAGGAAGCTTGATCTCCGTTGTAGTATTCTGTTTTGTCCTATTATTTTGTAGGATTAGTTTTAATATTTGTTTGATCAGATCTGTTCCTCCGTACTTTAGGAGTTCATTTGGTATTCTGTCTTCTCCGGGGTTTTCTACTTCTTAATTTCCTTAATGCTTTGTTTACCTCTTCCTCATCATTATTTATTTCTTCTTTTGTCATCACTTCTGGTGTTGGTGCTTCATTATCGTCACCTTTAGCAGATAATGATTTTGTCTTTTGTTCTCTGATGTTCCGTAGAAGTCGTGTTCCATCCATTTTGAAAAGCTCTGTCAATGTCCCCTTTTTATTTGTTTGACTAAAGTATTTTTTTCATTTCTGATTCATTTATAGTGGATGTATGCCTGTTGTGTTTGTTGTGTTCTGTACCGTAAAAAGACTTTCTTCTTTTTTTCACATTTCGTCTTCACTTCCTCTCTAAACCATGGGGTTTTCTTTTTAAATGTGTTAGTATTTGTTAATTTCCTCTCTCCAAGTGATTCTGTTGCTGCGGTAATTATGTTATTTTTGAGCGTTTCCCAGATTTCCTCGATATTATCGCTTTCTAATATTTCATTCCCAGCAACCTTCTCTGATATTCTTTATCTGTATAAATATTCCATGGGTTCTGTATTTAGTCTTTCTACTTCTGATTTTGTGTTTGTGTTAGCGCCGCTCTCTTGGGTGTGAAGTATTTCATGATGATTCTTATTTTACATAATACTAGGCTTGGTCGCTACTTACATCTGCTAAGTTGAGGCATCTTACATCGATTATTTTTGATGGGTGTATATCTTTGGTGATTAAAACATAATCTTTCATAGATCTTTGACCACGGGTATTATTGAATGTATATTTATGTTTATCTTCGTGGTCAAAAAAATGGTTTGTTTATTCTAAGTTCCTTATTCGTGCAGAAGTTTATCATCAGTTCTCCATGTTCGTTTTTAACATTCTCGTTATGGTTTTGCTTTATTCCGGGTATTACTTGATTGCCTATTCAAGCATTAAAATCCCCCATATTATCATCTTTCCTTTGACTTGATTCATTTCTTGTTGTAATTCATCGTAAAACCTTGTTTCCCTTGTTGGTTTGATTACTATTATTTTCTGGGCAGTTTACTCTGATTGTTTAGATCTGCCTTCTCTATTCCTATCTTTGCTGTTACAGTCTTTTGGGATATGTATTGATGTTGTGTTCTTATTTTGAATGTTGAAATTTCTTACAATCAGGTAGTAGCTTATTATCTGTATATCCTAATATAGAAACTGAGCGTCAAATATCAGAAGATTGTAGATAGTGTAAGAAGTTTAAAAGAGTAAAATATGATACATGAAAAGAGTAAGCAGATTGATGAAACGATGAAAATTGAAACTACTAATAGAGTTTATACCCACATGTACCCATATCACAGAAAATTATTATATGTGACTTGATTCCATTATCAACGGATATTTCTAGATAAAGCTATTAATTTTACTCATCTTCATTAAATGTATTACAGCATAATATACATGTGAATCTGTTTTCGTTTTAAAATAATTAAGAAATGCGGTATTCTATAGACTTGCTACTGGAGTGGACCTTCTTCGTATGGATGGATTTCCCTTTCCCACTGTCTTTTTTTTGTATTTATGGTATTTCTTTAATTCAATATTTTTTTGGGTTTAGTTACTCTTTAATGTATTTTGTCTTTTCTAGGGGGTCATTCAGGGTAATCGCCATTTTAGTGTAGTATTTAATCTATAACATCAGTTATCTTGGGTTTCTTCTATTTGATTCTGGTTCGCATTTATTTAGTCTCAATGTATTTTCGAAGGTACCTTCCTCTTCAGGTAAGTAATTCTTCAAGGTTATTTACTTTTCCATATACTGTTTTTCCTAAAGATTATCTTATGTTATATTTTACTTCATTAATATCATGTCCCTAATATTTGAATTTGTTTTTATTTATTATTGCAATGTGTTACTTCATATTCACAATAAATAAATGGAGACCTAAACAAATTGAGTTAATAAAACATGCATCGCTGTACTTAATAAACTGTATGACATGACTTAATCCTGCTGATATATTTATTTTATTTTATATTTCCTTAACTATTGACTTTATTAAAGGTATTTTATAACAAAATTCAGAAGTATTGATGTTTTTATCTATTTTTCTTTCATTATCTGGAGTAATTGCGTTAAATCAGAATTATGCAGTTAATTTGTAAAATGCGATTATCTCGAACACTGTTGAGTTTTGAAGTTATTAACAGGTATACCTTTTTTTTTTTTGGGTAAAATAATGTATCTTTAATATTTTTTATCAAAAATACCGGTAACTTGAAGAACAAAAAAGTTAAGTGCAAATGCAGTTAACTGCAGCTGTAAATTTTTATACATAAATGTTTACAAACATTAATGTTATAGCAAAAAATAAAATTTTAAATTTCCACTTTAACACCCTGCATTTTTTTTAATATCAACATTATATTAAGTTGGCTTAAATCGTAATATTTTAAAGTGTAGAATCTGCGGTTTCTTTTTTTACAATTACTTAAGGACCACCCTGTATATAAACACCCGACGGACCGTTTATTTGGCAGTGGTATACACAAGACTCTTGTAACAAAACAACATCGAACCTTTTTCTAGCAATAATAAGTTTTGCGGTAAATGCCCTACTCTGTTGAAGGTTCGCCTTTAGGATCACTGAGACAGATACAGAATCCACAGCCGTGGTGGCCTCTATTTATTCCCTCTACTTTTTTATTTATGGATTCAGAAAAGTCATTTATTTTTGAGTCCCCCTCTGGGTTATATATTTTTGTCTCGTGTCCATTTTATTTCCATGTGTTGGGATGAAATACTGTCAGGTGCGGCAGATAGTTCGCCCATACCGTACCAAGGCTATGATTCACACCAAAGTTTGCCAGTTATCTGGGCATCGTTTACTTTTCCTCTGTATCGTTTTTCCCTGAGCATGATGATGTTATATCTCGGGATTAGGAGTGCAGTGGTCACAGAACAAATTTTATCAAATGACCAGTCAGTTGTGGTGCGACTCTATAGATTTGCTGATTGAGCATTGTGTAAATATGCACGTGTGTATTAGTATTTTGTGTGTGGATGTGTCAAGGTTTTGTATATGTAGTTTATCTTATGTTTAATTAAAAAATCTACAGTTAATGGCATAGCTACAGCTCCTTGTTCTATATATATCCATAGAATGTTCACTATTACTACGGGAACATTGGGACGTGCAGTGTCGGGGATGAGAATTTACCCATTCTCTTGTGCCCATACCATTTCTAAAGCCAAATTGTGTGTCACTAATTTGATATTCAAGAGTTTTAATAGTTTTGTTTGGTATTATTTTCAAAAAACTATTGTTCTTTGATCTGAGCAGGTTGTTACACTTGACTTTTTGGGTAGTGCTACAAAGCATCAATAACATCTTCATCAATGAGTTTTAATAATCCGATGAGCACATCATCTGGTCCAGTAGCTTTGTACCCTTTTGTTTTTTTGATGGCATAGCTGACTTCTTTCTGTGGTCTCTAATGACAGTTCTTTCCTTTTATCAGTAAATATTTTTTGGATATAATTGGTCCACTGACACAATCTCTCCTTCACATTAGTAATTATATCTCATATATTATTTTTAAGGATATTCGTTATTGAGCTTTTACTAGAACCTGTCATTTTTTTGATTTTTTTTTTGTGTAAATTAAAGCTATCATACATTTTATCCAGTTCTTCTATTTCCTTGGATCTGTCGGAGAGCCACCTCTGTTTTGCCTCTCAAAATCATGAGGTATTTAGCATCTGGATGTACCTTTCATTTGCAGCTTTTGAAACAGCGATATCTGCTCGAAAGAAACTGTAATTATTGCACGTGTCGCTGAATTCCATACATGGTGCAACAGTTTGGCAACTAATTTCAAACCATTGTATCTGCAGGTTGCACAATCTAATGGTGTAAAAAATCGCTTAAATCTGTATTGTTTAATCCCTTTATAAAGAATTAATGTTCTAAAATCTAAATTATGCCCATAATTAAATTGAAATAAATTAGCTATAAGAAATACTGATAGAGAAGTTAGATACATTTTGTTGTATATTATACTAAATATGTTGCGCATATAGTATGCACCATATAGCTGCATAGGTTCCTCTGTGTCCAAGGTGCAGGCTCTATTAAATTTGGATTCAATAGAAGTCCTCCAAAAATACAGATAAATGTGGACAGAGACGTCATATATTCTTAAAACTCTTTGCATATTTTATACATACATGGTGTCAAAATTTAGGGGTCAACAGGTACACAACAGGTCTTTTGTTAAAATGCACGTCCGACATCGTCGAAATAAATAAAATCAACACTCGTGTACATTGCCAGTATTCCACAGGTTAAGACAAGTTGTTTCGCACTTAATTTTCTGTCGGGTCCTTCCATACTTCGTTGTATCGATTAATTGTAAATATAATATATGAATTATTTTAAATTTAAAATTTGGCCAAATTCTAAGCACAACAGTTAAAATTTTTAAAATAAAACATTCTTGTTTCTTTCAAATTAGAAATTTGAATTTTTGTAGGTTATGAGTGAAGAGCGTGTGACAGGAACGGTTACCACTGAGTTGAGAGCTGCAGAGGGTTCAGTTGGAGACACCACGGGGAGAATCAGTTACGAAAATCGGGGAGAATGCTTCTTTTTGCCTTACACCAAAGATGATGTTGAAGGAAATGTTACTTTACGATCTGGCGATAAAGTTAGCTTCCAAATTGCTACTAATAACCGGTAAAAAGTTATTTATCTTTTTATCCTATATTGTTCATTTTTTTATAAGTTTATCCTTAAAAAAAACATGCACACGGGGGGGGGGGCGCACTGAAAACGAACTCGCTATTTTCGATAAGCTAATTAATTTTTTTGAAAAACTGTTCGTCGATTTTGTTTTCAATGAGGATACATATTAATCACCAGTTGAAATAGTTACTTTACGTTATATTATAGGAGGTATATTAAAGCATACATTTGCAAGTAAGTAGCGTAAAAGTAAATAATGACACTAATTTTAAATTAATTTATTGATATTCTAAAAAAACAAATAAAAAAAAGCGTAGCTCTCAAGGAGTACCGAAAGAAGTGAAGACTTCTTATAACGTGTTAATATTATATGTAGGTTAATGAAATTTTGCCTGCTTATTACTGTATTGTAAATATAAAAATATATAATTTTTTTTAATGATTCTAGTAATTTTCAAAATTTGTTAAATATAGTACCTATAGAATTTATTCATCATTATTATCTTGTGTTTATGCTTAAATATTTCATTTCAATTATCATTAAATTCTAAAAAGAATCATGAATAATGGGTGGGTATATTAATTAATGTTCATTAAGAACTTTCCATTTGGAAATACTTATCTATAAACGACTGTCAAATTTCTAAAATGAACTTGTTTATTTTAATTAATGTTTATATAATTTTAAGTTAATATAATTTTATTTAATTTCATTTAATTTTATATGATTTTATTTTGTTTAACTTGTTTTTTTTTTGATTTTAGTTTGTAACTTGTTTATTTTAATTAATGTTTATATAATTTTAAGTTAATATAATTTTATTTAATTTCATTTAATTTTATATGATTTTATTTGTTTTTTATTATTATATTTATTTTTGATATTTTATTTAATTATGTTTAATTTTATTTTATTTTATTTAAAACAATTATTTTAAAATAAGAATTAATAAAATCGAACCGGTCAGTATCTAGTTGTTATAAAAAAAATATAAAATTACACTAAATGTATATATGTATGTATATTATGCATACTACGGTATACTTTGAGGTTACTACACTCGTCTTGATTTTTCGAGTCACGCTAAATAGGATTTCCAGCTCGAGTAAAACATCATACTGAGCGCTTAAGAAGTATTCACTTAAAACGCTGTTTAATTCTGACAGATCTGTCAAAGTCAGACTACATATTAAATTAATAATAAATTATACTCCATTCGCTTAGCTCGGGCATATTTTGGCAGATTCATTGTCGGAAACCTACAAAACAACAATCCCTACTTCTCATTATTAATAGCTCAAGTATACTACTATTGCAGACTTCTTTCTTTGAAAAAAGAAGAATTATTCTAAATAGTGGAAGTGCATACTAAACCCATCAAATTTTAGGTAGTAGGTATATATTTAAAAAATATATTTTAGTTGTTTTAATTTAACATAACTATTTATTATATGGTGCAGATAAATAAATATTGATTGTCGGTAATTGGCAAAGTTCTATTTTATTTACTATTTAGTTTGTTTACTATTAATATTGGCTATGAGTACGTGTGCTTGGTTGTATAGTAATTTCCAGCCACTTTTAGTCTATCAAATAGTAAATAACTTCGCAAAAAAATAATTACTAAAGTCACTAGACAGTTCAGACTGGGAATAGCGAACCGAGTATATAAATGAATATCATTTATAGTAAATTTGATTGTTATATAAACAAAATAAGATCTTAAAAAATAAAATATAAGTATAGTTTGACATGAATTTATTAACAACTAATGTTAAAAATATAATACAAAACCAGTATAAATAGTTCGTGTCGTAACGATCCACTCTGGATTTTATTATAGAAAAAAAACTATAAATTATAATGAGAAACGACTGATCAACCTGCACATCAACAAAAAGAATTAAGAAAACGAATGGTTTCTTCAAACATAAAATGATCGATAAATACACACGGTAACAACAAAGGAGAAAACTGAAGTCGATAATAGATTACGTAATTACGAAACAGTCAACACACGTACAATTACCGGACATTAGAGTACACATAGGAGCAATATGTAGAACTAACCACTAATTGTTAGCTAAAATATATATTCCAAGATTGAAAACTAACACAAAAAAGTAGCAACCAGTGTGAAATCGAAGATAGTTTCGTAAATTACCTAAAATACAACCTGGAAAGTTTTCTAAATGTCACCAAGTACTTGAACCAAAAACGCCAAGATGAGTACTTGAACTGATCTGAAAATAAATGAAGTTATAATAACAACAGAATATACATAAAGCAACGCAGGATGTATTAGGCATTAAACAACGAAAAAAAGTAAAGTCAGGTGAAGTTGAAAAACTAATAAACAGTAAGAAAGGCTTTTACTGACTCCCCAATTAAAAGTGGGCAATTATATTATATCGGAAACTACAATTTTACGATGAATATTCTCAAAAATACTGTTGCTGTTAACTACATGTGGCATGAATTGAATGGTACAAAAAGATCATCAGAACTAGCTACATGCTTATAGAACATGCTTTTGAGCTATCATCTGAATTGAGTGAAGTAACATTTTATTCCGATACTGCAACAGGTCAAAGGAGAAATTCCATTTTATCTGCGATGTTTATAAAAGCTTTGTCTCCTTTTCATAATTTACAAATTATTAATCAAAAGTTCATGGAATCCGGACATTCCGAAATGGAATGCGACAGGGTTCATTTTGCGATTGAAAGTAGGGGACGAAAAATTATATATGTGCCTTACGGATGGTACATAGTGGCTAGAACAGCCAAAGTAAATCACCCTCTATACGTCGTTAGAATTAGATTACAGTCATTTTTTAGATTTTAAAACTTACAGCGAAAAATTAGCTTTTACCAAAACGAAGACAGTCGATGGCGATGTTATGAAGTGGCTATTGCAATATAGAAAAGAACACCTTGATATAATCTTTTATAAAACACAACTTAGTCAGGTAGACTTCAAACAATTGTGCATTCGTAGAAACACTCGAGTTGACAAAAATGTTTTCAGTGAGGTTCCGAAACTGTATCCCTCTACTTTAGGAATAGAGCCTAAAAAACTAAAAGATCTACAAGATCTTTGTCAAAAACAGCATGACTCGTGAAAAGTTATCTAGTGGTGAATGGAGCTAAGTGAATAAAAGCCTTCTACCCTCATATAAGTCAGTGTTTTATTAGTATTTGGTTCAGTACAAAGTAGGTAACACATTGTTTGATAAATCCTAAAATTTTAGGAATAGTTCAATGAACTATAATCTAGATTTATAAGCTAAAATGTATTTTTTCCTAGACATGGTAATCTAAAATGCTCATTATCTCGAAACTGACTTTTGTTGGTTAGCTCTCTTCACTTCTACGGCGACGATATATAAAGAGAATTAAACAACCTTTAAAAAACGAGGTATCACTCGACCCACCTGTCTAATTAAGAGTTTAGGGCTTTTATTACATCCTCCTAGATGGGTTACAGGTGTTATCGGGTGCTGCAGTTATGATAGTGAGCTAGTGATTAATAAGTGTTCCCTTTGAAAACAAAATCGACTGGTCTGAGCGATTCTGAGAGAATTCCTCTGTTTTGATTTAGGTGTTCCATCCTGTATATCTTTCATTTTTAGTGGAAACCTTGGTGCCTGTCATGTTAGATTAGAAAATCCAGCCCATCCTGTGAAATATCAAGGAGTCGTTTGCTCTATGAAAGAGAGCTTTGGCTTTATAGAAAGAGCAGATGTGGTGAAAGAAATATTTTTTCATTTCTCTGAAGCAAAAACCAAAGAAGAATTAAGATTAGGGGACGACGTTGAATACATTATTCAAACCAGAAATGTAAGTATTGCCCATATATTAAAAACAGTTTAAATTTATAAATTATTAAAGTCCTAAAATATACCCTATAGAAAATTTTCCATTTTAATTATTTTTTTTTTAACTTGTCAATGTTCGCTATCTAAAGGTGTATTTAAATCAAAGAACGAACGAAGAAACTAATTCGTAGGTGTTTCTTGGTCATTTGTTCTCTACAAAGTAGGAACGTTTACATTGTAGCGAACGTTCGCATCCGTTGATGATCCGTCCGCAATGTCGGATACAGATGAAGATGTAATCATTAGCGCTGCTAGTTTTATAGTTGTTACAGGATTTTTGCGAAACAAAAACGAAGAAGAGAGTGTGGTGTTTAAATTTGTTACAAAAGAGAAAAAACAGATAATAGCTTTGTTAATTTATTTAATGACTGACAGCTTAACTCAAGGTTCAAATAAAATTATAAATTGTGTCAGTCCCACTACCTCACTTTTTTAAAAAGTTCTCTTTTTGTCTTTCTCATCTAAATAATGTCAGAAGCGAATTAATCTATTTTTTTTTTTAACTTCAGAGACATCACAATTCATATCAGTGGAAATTTTGTTATAGGCATCAGTTTTTTTTTGTTTATTATTTGATATAGTTTCGGATTCCATAGACATTCTTCGTTTCTTTGTAATTCGATTAATTGAAGCTTATTTTCATTTGTGCATTCCATATTGCAAAATTATTTACGCATATAAGTTATCAGTTTCTTCTTCTTCAATTGCCCTCTCCGCTACGGAGTTTTGGCAATCATCATTGCTATTCGTATCTTTGAAGCTGTTGCTTTAAATAATTGGTTAGATGTGCACTGGAACCAGTCTCTTAAATTGCGCAGCCAATATATACGTCGTCTCCCCACGCTTCGTTTGCCCTGAATCTTTCCTTGGATAATTAACTAGAGCCATCGGTACTTTTTCCCTCTCATCACATGACCAAGATATTCCAACTTTCTTCTCTTGATGGTGATCAACAGCTCCCGTTTTTTTGTTCATTATTCGAAGAACTACACTATTTGTTGTTTTGTCTGTCCCAGGTATTTTCAAAATTCTTCTATATATCCACATTTCGAACGCCTCTAGTTTATCGGTATTGCTCTTGTTTAAAGTCCAAGCCTCTACTCCGTACAGCAGTATCGAAAAGATGTAGCATCTAACCAATCTCATTTTCAGGTTTAAGTTAATGTCATGACTTCCGAGAATGTCTTTTATATTAACAAAAGCAGCTCAAGCCTTTCCAATTCTAGTTTTTATTTCTTCTGTGATGTCATTTTTGTTATTAACATTTGTTCCCAAATATTTATATTTGTGCACCCGTTCAATTTCGTTGTTGTGAATGTACAGGTTTGCATTCAATCTTTGTTTTTTTGAAATAGTCATGAATTTCGCCTTCTTGACATTCATTGTTAACCCTTTCTCTTCACTAGCTGTGACTACCTTATTTAAAATCGCTTACAGGTCTTCTGCTGTCTGCGCCATTAAAACCGTATCATCTGCGTATCTAATGTGGTATATTTATATAGTTTTAATTTATTTGTCTTTATTCTAATTTATTGTCTATATGCTAATTTATTAAAACTCACGATAACTAATTACGAATTTATTACAGTCTTTATTAATCCTAATTTATATTACAAATTTATGTTTCGTTACATTTAAATATCGCGGTTCCCGAGCTTCTTATGACTGACTCCTTCAATAAAATTTCGTTCTTATATAAAGAACCGTAAGACCGCCTAGACCTGACCTGACCCTTGGCGAAAATACTGGAATGTGACGTAATACTGGTATTATAGCCGAGGGGAGACCCCATGGATGTTGACCTGCATTGTCTCGAATAAACTGGAACGGGGTTTTTTTATAGCGGCTCGGCTGATTTTCGTCAGGTAGGTATACCTAGAACATTCATGAATAAATAAAAACATATTAGTAAAATATATTTACGATTTTGGGTCAGAATTTATCGTAACATTGCCCCCCTCTTAAAAGATGGTTCCTCCTGGAACCTTGTCGGGACTGGAACTGGAGCGGCATGCTGGTATCGGCAACTGGACCCTCTTTTACAACTTAAAGTTTTATAAAAATGACAAGGGACGGTTTTCTCTCCGCACCAGTAACTATGCGGATTGCAACAGACTAACACCTGGACTTCGGTGTCTCTAAAGATCTCCTCCACCATACTTCGAATAACCCTCCAATCTAATTGGTGGCACTCTAACTTTGGCATGGCTAACTTTTGCACGTCGGACTCTAGTACGTGCTCTCTCAATCGAAGTAAAGCTTCCCATACATCTCGGTAGGTAGGTTGGTCACGGGCAGTGTCTTTTGTTACCAGGTAGAAAAGGTAACGTGATGCATCTTGAAGTTTTAAGGCTTTTCCAGGAGCTGGCACTTGGCATTGAAGTTCTGCAACTCGACCGAACTTCCTTCGAAAGACGGATGCCAACCCTGGTGCGTCTTTGATACTGGCCGGGATGGTAAGGGCCAGTGAGTAGTCATCGGGAAGCGCGAGTAGATCTTGCTTTTCTTCAGTGGTAACACCATGTCTTGCTTTACCGGTACCTCCATAGGCACCCATGAATTCCTCAAACGTGAGGTCAGACACATCTTGGACTTGGTTTACTTCCACTTCTTCATCTACGTCGTGGTCGCCTTCGAAAGACGCCAGCCGGTTATGGTGTACTATCATCGGCTTTCCCCTCGGAATCTTGCTTATTCGATAAATGACATCATTGATCTTTTCCATAATGAGGTATGGACCTTCCCAAAACTGCTGCAACTTGGGGGAACAACCTTTTCGCTTTTTGGGAGTATAAAGCCAGACTTTGTCGTTCTTCTTAAAACACCCCTTTTCGGCTTGCGTATCGTACCGTTTCTTCATTCGGTCACTAGCGATCTGGAGATGGGAACGGACCAACTCGTGTACATCGTCCATTCTTCTTCGTAATTCGATCACATAATCTTCACCTGCTACATCTTCTCCAGGTCGACACCCAAACTCTAGATCACAAGGTTGTCGCATCTCGCGTCCGAATAGGACTCTGGCTGGTGTCTGGCCTGTTGATTCATTAACAGCAGATCTGTAGGCCATTGTGAAGAACGGAAGATATTGGTCCCAGTCTCGCTGATGATCGGACACCATCTTTGTCAAATACTTGCCAACTGTTCTATTCATTCGTTCTACCATACCATCCGATTGCGGATGATAAGCCGTAGTTCTTGTTTTCTTCATACCTAGTCTATCACATATTCCTTGGAATAAATCGCTTTCGAAGTTCCTGCCTTGGTCACTATGGATCTCCAAAGGCACTCCAAATCGGCTGATATATTCTTGGATCAACTTATCTGCAACGGTGGCGGCCTTCTGGTCTGGAAGTGCGTAAATCTCGACCCACTTAGTGAAGTAATCCATTACTACCAACATGTACTTGCCTCCATTATCACTTTCTGGAAATGGCCCAGCAATGTCCAAAGCTATTCTTTCAAACGGGCTTCCAACATTATATTGTCTCATAGGAGCTCTCCTTTTTCGATAAGGCCCGTTACTCGTAGCACAAATAGTACATTTCTTACACCAGTCTTTTACATCGTCGGAACTGTTCATCCAATAAAACCGTTCCCGAATTCGCTGAAGGGTCTTTTTCACACCAAAATGCCCTCCTGATGGACTGTCGTGTAACTGACGAAGTACTTCGGCTATTCTGCTCTTTGGAATCACCAACTGTCTTCTCTTCTCTGAACCGTCATCATTTTCCAGGACTCGTTTGAGCAAGCCATCTTCCATGATAAATGAGTCCCACTGGGCCCAATACGTCTTAACTATTGAGCCTAGGTTCGATATTTCTTGCCAAGGTGGTCGACGGTTTTTCCTCTTTCCATTTTCGGATTTTCTGTATAACTGGATCTCTCTCTTGTTCTTCCCTGATCTTGGTAGGCGTCCAGTCGTCGTGGACCACCGTCGTTCTTAGCACTGCTGCTTCCTTGGATTCCGTTTTGTTGCAGTGAGAACACTCTGCTGGGCATGGCCTTCTGGAAAGAGAATCGGCGTTTCGGTGGCTAACTCCGGCCCGGTGCTCAATCTTAAAATCATATTCTTGGAGTCGTTCGATCCACCTGGCTATCTGACCCTCTGGATTCTTAAACTGCATCAACCACTTAAGGGCGGCATGGTCGGTTCGGATTAAAAACTTCCTTCCATAGAGGTATTGATAGAAGTGCTCTACTGATTTCACTACTGCCAGAAGTTCTCTTCTCGTGACGCAGTAATTTCGCTCAGGTTTTGAGAGAACTTTACTAAAATATCCAAGGACTCTTTCCTGTCCTCCTTGAATCTGAGACAGCACTCCTATAATTCCCACATTACTTGCATCTGTATCTAAGATGAACTCTCCTTCTGGCAGTGGATACCCTAAAATTGGTGCTGTGATTAAATGCTTTTTTAAGGTCTCAAAGGCATTCTGGCAGTCTACATCCCAGCGGTATTCTCTTGCTTCCTCTGTAAGTCGCGTTAATGGTTTAGCGATATCTGCAAACTTCTTAATAAACCTCCGGTAGTAAGTACATAGTCCCAGAAAACTTCTCACTTGGTGTTTGTCAGTTGGTTTTGGCCATTCCTTAATGGAATCAATTTTTCCCTTATCCACAGCCACTCCTTCTTTGCTGACTATATGACCCAGATAATTGACTTTACCTTGAAATAGCTGGCACTTCTTAGGGTTTAACATCAATTGGGCAGCTTTAAGTCGATTAAAAACGTTTTCTAAATTCTTCAGATGATCTTCAAATGTCTCCCCAAGACGATTATGTCATCTAGATAAACTAGGCATGTTTTCCAAGATAACCCTCTCAACACATTTTCCATAAGCCTCTCAAATGTCGCAGGAGCGTTACAAAGTCCAAATGGCATAACGTTGAATTGCCATAATCCAGATCCTGTGGTGAAGGCTGTCTTTTCTTTATCTACCGGGTCCATTTCTACCTGCCAGTATCCAGACTTCAAATCCAAAGTAGAAAATAATTTACTTCCAGCCAATGTGTCTAATGTGTCATCAATCCGAGGCAGAGGATAACTATCTTTCTTAGTAACGTTGTTCAGCAAACGGTAATCCACACAGAACCTCGTTGTTCCGTCTTTCTTCTTAACCAGGACTACCGGAGAGACCCATGGGCTCGTAGAAGGTTCTATCACCCCGTCTTTCTTCATTTCCTGAACAATCGTTTCAGCTTCCTCTCTTTTCGCCTGTGGTAATCGTCGAGCTGTTTGACGAATTGGCTTAGCATTACCAGTATCAATTCTATGCTTAACAACGGTAGTTCTTCCCGTCTTTCCTCCTTTCGGTACGAAAATATCACGATACTGCCGAAGAAATTCCCTTAATTTCCTTTTCTCAATCTGATTCAGAGACTGTCCAGCAACTGCAACCATTTGATCAAATTTGTCGTTGGAATTATCAGACGTTGTCGTCTGACGGATTATGGATGTCACAGGTACACAAGTTCGTACTTTTGTCTCTTTCTTGATGGTCACTGGGTAGTCATTGACATTAATAAGTCTCACAGGAATTTCTTTAGCCGAAGTCACTAATTCTTTTCCAATTATGATTCCACGGCCAACTTCGTCGTCATGATTCCAAGGCTCCATCATAACAGGTGTTCCTTCGTCCACAATTCCCTGTAGCCGCGCTACTATTATCGTTTCACTTCTCGCAGGCACGACTGTATCTTCTTTAACGGCTGCTTGCATAGTGTTGTCATCATGTGGATGGAGAAATACCTCCTCGTTACCAACTTTGATTACCTTATTCTTAAAATCCAATTGGAATCCATGCGTATTCATTACGTCCATTCCTAATATAACATCCTCTTCGATGTCAGCAACTATAACAGTATGGACAAACTTTTCTGTTCCAATTCCTAATTGTACCTGGATTTCTCCATGAATGTTGGCATTTTCACCTGTAGCGGTCCGCAGTCGCAACCTCGTTGGTAACAGTTTCTTATGGCTGTTTATAACTGTCGGGCGAATAATGCTTCTGGTCGCTCCCGTATCCACCAACAACGTATGCTTTTTACCATTTATTTCTCCATCTACATATACACTATCTTCACGACATTTCAAAGAAGCTATTAGTATGAGAGGGTCTTTGGAAAAGTTCTGGGTCGAAGCTGCCCCCCTAAGGCCGACCCGTTCTAGTTTTCCTGATGGTGAGTTTCTTGATTTGTGTCGTACCTAGGATGCTTACATGAACTTCGTACGTGTCCTATTTCGCCACAATTCCAGCATCTTATGGTCTTCATTTTCTTGTATGTCATGCTTTTCATCATATTAACGAGCTGGTCAAGTTTATCTTCATCTTCTTCCTCTTTTACAGTCCTAACTTTACTGTAACCGCCAGAGGCCTGCGTAGCTGACTCGTATTCGAGGGCGGCGGATAAGACATCAACCAGCGTCTTGTGACGAGCTAATCGTAGTGTTCTTTTCATCTCATGATCACGAAGACCATCAATAAACGTTTGAACGGCCAACTTTTCCATCATGTCTTCGGGAGCTGTTGGATAAGCATATCGCACTAATCTGGCAATATCTACTTCATATTCTTGAAGAGCCTCATCTTTCTTTTGTCTTCGATTTTTGAGCTGCGAGTGATATACATGTTCCAAGTGTTCGTGGCCATATCGCATATTTAACCTCTTCTTCAGTTGTTCGAAATCATCCGTCTCCTCTACGGCTATGGTCTGGAGCACATCTAAGGCATCTCCTCGAAGAGCTATAGTCAGGTTTACAGCCTTTTCTTTTTCTGACCATCCATTCGCTCTTGCAGCTGATTCGAACTGTTTCATGTAGTTGTTCCATGACGATTTTCCGTCGAAAGTTGGAACTTTGACATGAACATAACCTCCGCTTCCTTCAAATTTCGGCCGTGTTTCCAACTTACATTTCGTCTCGTCTTGTTTTATCTCTACCGGATCTAAAGCTACCGTATTAATTGGTGGTAGCACTCTCGTGTTAGTTATCATGGTCTCTAACTGTTTGATTTTCTCTTCAACTTTATCAAATGTTTTAGAGACTTCTTCAAACTTCTCACTATTCTGAATACATATTTCTTTAATTATTTGAGAAGTCTCGTCGAATCTTCTAGCAACATTTTCAAATTTCTCGTCATTTTGTCTAGCTACTTCTTTAATAATTTGAGACGTTTCATTGAATCTTTCATCATTTTTTTTTAGAACTCTCTTCGATCATTTGCGAGACGTTCTCAAATTTACTATCATTTTGTTTCGAAGATTCTTCAATCATTTGTGAGACGTTTTTAAATTTCTCATTTATTTTTGTTAAAACTGTTTCTTCTGATGATTGAAACTGGAATGTCTCTGGGTCATCTCCATTCTTGTTGAGAACAGTCTTCAGTCGTTCTTGGAGGATCTTCTTGGACCCGCTGCAGTCTTCATCGCGTTCTTCTAGTTGCTCACGCAACTGTTTCACTGAAAGTTCTACTAGCAGCATCTTTGGTCAGGCACACACGTACTTTTTAAATGTTCTTTCGTACAACGATCACTACTGAACTACGCGGATGTTCCCGACGAACAATACCTTTCAAAAGTTCAAAAGTCTTTTTCAAAAATCAAATTAAATTTATCTACAATCCCACTCCGGTACACCACTGTGGTATATTTATATAGTTCTAATTTATTTGTCTTTATTCTAATTTATTGTCTATATGCTAATTTATTAAAACTCACGATAACTAATTACGAATTTATCTTCTCCTTCAATAAAATTTCGTTCTTATATAAAGAACCGTAAGACCGCCTAGACCTGACCTGACCCTTGGCGAAAATACTGGAATGTGACGTAATACTGGTATTATAGCCGAGGGGAGACCCCATGGATGTTGACCTGCATTGTCTCGAATAAACTGGAACGGGGTTTTTTTTATAGCGGCTCGGCTGATTTTCGTCAGGTAGGTATACCTAGAACATTCATGAATAAATAAAAACATATTAGTAAAATATATTTACGATTTTGGGTCAGAATTTATCGTAACACTAATATTATTAATTGGCTGGCCGTTAACTTTTATCTCAATCTCTTCTTCCTCCAATGCTTTCTTTATAATTTCTTCCGAATAGAGATTAAATAGCATTTGTGACAGCATACATCCTTGTCTATTGGTCTATTGTCTATTGGTGACAGCACACATCCTTGTCTAAGTTATCAGCACTACACAACAAATAGCCCTCTCAGACTAATTTGTAAATAAATTAGTATTAAAACAGTACTTCTCAAAGAATTCGTTCGCTACGTTCTATTCACTATTCACGCCGAACAACGATTTCTTTTGATGATTCGCTGATTTACCGATATCAGTTGGAAAATGTCAGGACGTGAATGACCTCGTTTGGTCGTGTTTAATTCGCTGTTTATAATAATTATAACGAACAAATTCGTTCGTTCGTTTGTGTTCGCTTTGATTTAATTACTATTTTAATGGGAATAAGCCACAATTAAAGGTTAAAGTAGGTTTATTTACGTTTCAATTTCCACTTGGGAAATCGTTCTCAAAATACAATTAAGATTTAATGTGATTGTTGCGCGTGAGCATTTTGCTCACAGTGCTCAGGTCTTTGTCAAATAAAAGAACCAATATTGTTCTGAAGCTGTTTTCTTGTTATAATTTAATTTTATCTGCATATTTCATGTTGACAAGTCAGACATTAATACATTTTTAAGTAAATGGCTTTAATGGCAATATCATTTTAAAATCATATACTTTAAAATATGTATGTCTGAAGTGTCAATATGAATGAGACAGATAAAATTAAATTGAAACGCCAAAATAAACATATTTCCAACTGAAATTCTTCAATTATGTGATACTTTCTTACCAGTTTATATTTTTTAGGGAAAAGAGGTAGCTTGCAACATTACTCGATTACCTCCCGGTACAGTAATTTTTGAAGATCTGAAGCCTGATATATTAAAAGGCCAAGTATTAAAGCCCATAGATCGTGGTCCACGAAATCCAAATGACGCATTACCGGGCCGTATTAGATATAGAGCTCCCGATCATTCTGAAGTCGAAATATCATTTAGTGAAAAAGATCAAATGGGTGATTTCACTCTTCGCCACGGTGATTGGGTACAATTTCAAATTGCAACTGATAGAAGGGATGCTCTAGACAGAGCAACTCATATTTTGTTGTTGGACGAAAGTTTTAAGTAAGTATCATAATAATATTTTTTTGAAATACATTCAATGATTCCATTATTAAGTTTTCACTTATGTCATGTCTATAAATTGAACTACAACTTAAATTTGTACAAACGACAAATATCAAACGATAATGTTTAATAGATTTCATCGTAAAATGAAATTTGCTCATTGAGGAATGCAGGGGGTACCATTTAATCTTTGGTTTGGCACCATATTATGGAAAACTGTGTATGTCATTTATTATCCGTATCTTAAATGTCCCTACACCTTTTATTAACAACATTTTAGAATTTTGGCTGTAACAGCTTTTACAGCTCTAGTGAATGGGTACCACATGTTTTGGAGGTACCTACTCAAAAAAGTGTTTCCACGCTGCGATCTACTGCATCTCTGTCATGCAAGATATGGTTGACTAGATTATCTGCTTATTTTTCTGCAGTATTTTAGCTCTATTAGCACATGTTTCTCCAATATACATTTTTCTATGTGCTTGACCAGAAGTATTTCCCAATGCGAATTATGTTTCAGCGGATCCAGGCTTTTTTAGCCGATTGTACTTGTTCCTTTTATGACAATTTCATCAACTATCATTGTCAGTGTGATATTGTTATGTTCTGCCAGTTTGTCGAGTTCTTATCGGCATCCCCACACTAGCCTAAAGTCCACCTTATGCTTCTAGGAGGTTTCATTGCGACTTGACTATCTGTTCGCTTTGGTTCTAGTAGTGGAATAGAAATGTTTACATTTCTACCATATGGAATATTCTTACACTCGGCTTTCTTGCAGTTTTAGACCCAAGTGCCCTTCGTACCAAGTATAACCTTGCAACCTGAATTGTGTTTTCTTTGCCTTATCTCTTTCTTGAGCATATGTCCACTTAGAAAGGTATTTTAGAACTGTATCTGGATTCCATTCTCGCCTTCCCCCTTATAAAGATATGCAGAAGTGAGAGGACCAGTAGTCTCCATAGGTAGATTTTTTCTTCTTATTTTTGTATAGGCATGACTGTCGGTTTCATTGTGTCTCGAGTAAGTTGTCATTCCATCGTTTTCGTGTTCTTCTTACTGATCGTCTTCCTATTGGGGAACCGTCTCTTGCTGTCTTTACTACTCTATTTGTTCTCATTCAGCTTATATGATCGTTTCATTCTACTCTTCTATGTCTTACCCAATTCTTGATGTTCTCCACCTTGCATCTACGTCGTATATCTGTACTTCTAGCTTTGTCCCATAGTGTCTTACCATCAATTTTTCTAAGTGGTTTCATCTCTGCTGTTCCTAACATCCTTTTTATCTTCTCTGTGCCAGGTCTGATGACTGTTTTGTAAATTCTGCCTTTCGTTTCTTTCCCGATATTTTTATTTCTCCATATTTGTCATTCAAGCAGCCTGCATCTCTGTTTTCTGTATTCACTTGATCTTCCATTTCAGATTCGAGCTTTCCGTAGCTAGATTATGGGATCTTAAATGCTCTTCATCGCTCTTTGTCATCGTATGTGAGGATGGGCTTGATAAGAGTTATGTATATCACTAGTTTCGTTCTTTTTGTAACTAGGCTTGTTGTTAAAAACATTTTTAATCCATAATAGGCTCTATTTGCCAGATATATCAGTATGTTAATTTCTGCACTTACTGCATTATTCTGATTAATTTGTGAGCATAGGTATCTAAACTCTCTTACTCCTTCGAAAGTATATGTTCCGATCGTTAGATCTTCGGGTTGTGCTGCTTGTATATAATTTGATACTTTCATATACTTCGTCTTACTAGTATTAACCTCTAGTCCCATTCTTTTTGTTGCTGCTTCAAGCACATTGAATGATTCGACCACGTCCGCCTTTCTTCTTGCAATAATGTCGATATCATCGGCGTAATCTAGTAATTGTACGCTGCAATTAATAATAGTTCCTCTGGTTGTTATTCCAGATTCTCTTATCGCTTTCTCTAGTGCAATATTAAATAGAAGGCACGATAGGCTGTCTCCTTGTCTGAGTCTTATCTGAGACTGAAACTTTCTGGAAACTCCGTTCTGCACTCTAATTTTACACTCGACTCTTGAGAGGGTCGCTTTTACCAATTTTACTAAGTGTACTGGTATGTTGAATTCTATCATGGCCTTGCACAGTGCGTTTCTTTCAACACTATCATAGGCACATCTAAAATCAACAAACAGGTAATGTTTTTTTTTTGAGGGTATACAAGGCAACTATCGAACACGGTGATTAATTTAATCTTGCCCAAGTACTTTCAATCAATAGATCATCTTCAGGGGCATCTGAAATAAGCCAAGAAACGTTTTTTATAAAAAGGAAAATTAATACACTTGGATAAAAAACTTCAAGTTTTATGTTGAAAAAAATTTTTATATGTGATAAACGTTTATAGACTTACTTCGTCAATTGTGGCCTATCCGACATAGTAGAATGTCATAAATGTAAAATCTGGACATAACAATACAAAATACAATACACTAAGACAAACAAACACTTTAAAATTTATATGGAGAAGCTACATATTGTATAGAAGCCGGAGACAGAATGGGCTCCCGGTCTGACGGAAATGTAGAGATGACATGTGACAAATGACAGCTTATGAAGGGCAGTTATGTGATCTGCACCTTTCAAAATTCTATGATACTAAGTATTGACCAAAGGTCCAACTGACACCACTATAGGAAATCGACTGATGAAATATAAAATTATATAGTATATTTTTTATGTAGATTGAATAATCCCAATCTCACACTCAAACCTGTCTATAATAATTAAGATGTTGGTTTGAGAGCAATTGAAGTTGACATAAAGTATGAATGTGAGAAAAGACTAACAATATATTAGACAGTGGATGGTTGACTACAATAAAATGGTCCACCAAGCGCTATCAGTACTGTAAAAAAGAAAAATCTGAATATGCAGTTAAATTACTAAAAGTTAAAATCAAAATTGAAGACAAAATATATAAATGTGTTATAGTCGACGTAGTTCAGTTGAATCCACAGTCAATGGAAGAACTTTAAAATTAATATTGAAATATTCAGTGCATGAAGTCTAAACAGTCGAGCTGGGTCCTCTACGAGGTGAAGCTGTAATAAAGTTTTTAAATATAGGATTAAATTTAGTACAATTTAAATTAATTTGAGTGTTAAGACAGTGAGAGTTTTCATTTGTTTCGCTTGTAATCTCCAAATCTTCCAATAAATCCAACTCAAGATAGTTTTTCTTTCTGCTAATGTCATGTAAGATAGATGAACCAGATTTGATGTTAAAATTGTGGTTGCTGGATACTAAGTGTTGACCAAAACTTGAAGAATTTGGTCTTTTCAAATGTTCAGAGACTCTAGTGGATAACTTTCTGATGGTTCTACCTACATAAGATGCATCACAATCATCACATTTTAATTTGTAAATACCACTTTTATCAAGTGTATTCATCCTATCTTTGGTATTGATTAAGAAGGAACCTAAAGTGTTATGTGATTTAAAGGAAATTTTGATGTTATCAATTGTAGAAGAAAAAAGTTTAGATATTTTATTGGAAATGCTACTAATATAAGTGAAGGAGAAATATCTGATGTTATCTGAAGCATTCGGTTGGGAAAACTGTGAAGAATATGCAAGCTTTTCTGCAATTTTTAGTTTAGCTCTATTTAGAAGTTTGTATATAATGTTGGGATCATAGCCATTATTGAAAGCAATCTGCTTAAGAGTATTAAGTTCTGTATTAAAATTATCATCAGAGAGAGGAAATTTAAGTAACCGATGAATGTAACTGTTGAAAGCAGCCATTTTATGTTGAGTTGGGTGATTAGACGTTCCATGTATAACGTGATCTGTTTGGGTGGGTTTTCTATAAATGTTGTACTCTAAAGAATCTTTCTTACGGGAAATAGTCATATCCAAGAAGTTCAACTTATTGTCAGATTCTGGTTCCAGAGTAAAAGAGATGTTAGGATGGAGGTTATTAAGGTCATCCAGAATCTGTAAAGCATCATCTTGGGTTCCCTGTATGAGAGCTATACAATCATCAACATATCTAGACCAAAAAACTATTTTGTTGTTGTTATTAACAAACTTCTGTTCTAAGCTATCTAAGAAAATATCAGCTAGAAAAGGTGATAATGGAGATCCCATTGCTAAACCTGTTGGTTGTTTATATATTTTTTGATTGAATTGAAAGAAGTCCTGATCCAGACAGAATTTAAGCATAGTTAATATAGCATCTTTATCCTTTGCAGATATGTTGCAATTGTCTAGAAGGTTGTGTACTAAAGGTAATGTTTCATCTCTTGGTACAGAAGTAAACAAATTGGAAACATCAAAAGAAACCAAATAAAAACCCTCTTCTATCCTAATGTTATTTAAACGTTCTATTAGATCTAAAGAATTTTTAATAGAGAACTTAGGTTTAAAATTAGTGATAGACTGTATTGTGTTGTAAATAAACTCTGATAATATAGAAACTGGAGTGTTGCAAAAACTTACTACAGGCCTTATGGGACAATTGTGTTTATGGATTTTAGGCAGTCCATATAACCAAGTGTTATAGGATTAGATACAGTTTACTTTCTGTTGTTATATTTAGTAATAGTGTCATTAAACAATTTAACCATAGCTTTTGTTTTATTAATAAAGGTGTTAAGTGGATTTTTTTCCAAAACTACAAAACTATTATCTGAAAGAAAAGATCAGCCTTACTGAGTACAAGAGAATCTCTATCAATTTTATGTTTAATTGATGTTAGCAAATTATTTTGTTTTTTAAAATTATGGTGATGTCTATGAAAATTGCGTTTGTACTTACATTGTTATTGTTGAAGTAAGCTAATGCAAGAGTTTCTCAAATATTGTTTAATATCAGCATTTTTAGTCATACCTTCTATTAGAGTATCCAGCTCCACTGCAAATCCTCCAAGCATTGAGTTATTTAACCTAAAATTCTGACAAGAAAACTTAAGGCCTAATCCTAAAAAATACAATTCATCCTCTGAAAAGTTAGTGTTACTTAAGTT